CCCTGGCTCCATGCCCGTGGTTCCTGCTGCTGCCCCGTCCACGCCAGGCACTTCAGCCGGTAGTTGATGCCCACGCGGCTCTCCAGCTTGTAAATCCAAAACCCGCGGAGGTCTGAGCAGGGAGAGAAACCCCAAGCTGTCACCTCTGGCCAAGGGGACCACAGGGGTGATTTTGGGTTGAGGTGAGAGCCAAGTGATACTGATGCTGGAGGCTAAGCCCATGCTGACCTGCAGCCATGGGACCCCATGCTCAACAGCCATCCAACAGCAGGGAAACAGAAGGAGAGGCTCTTGCCAAAGAAGAAAGCCTTGGGACAGAGCTATTGCCACAAAGAGGGTCCATGGACACACCAAGGACATTTCAGCCTCAGGGCATAGCTGGTACCCAGGGGAAGCATTTTATGTGCCTGGACTCTGCAAACTCAGCGAGAGCCTTGCCACAGTAGCAGACTGGTTTTAATCAAATGAGAACATCCCCCTCCCCACACACCCCTTCCCCGACCCCCCAAGGGGCTGCATGAGCCCACCCCAGTTGTGTGGCCCTACCTGTGTTGGAGCCCCTGAACTGGTCAGGGCGATACTTAGTGGCTGGAGGTCTCTGAGTCAGGTCATCGTTGCGGTAAAAGCCGTCCCCGCTTTATGCAGAGGAAAAGGGAATAGTCAGGGGTTGATCTCCCAAGTGGGGTTATCCCAGCCCCAGCCTGCCCTTCAGCTGCCCTGATGCTGAGCCAGTGGGACCCCACAATACCCAAATTGGAGCTCTGGGGACAGGAGGGCAAAGGCACCAGCTCCCCCAGCCTGCTGCCTCCTCTCTGCAAGGTGCAGTTAGTTCTGGGTGCTGCAAATGCTGCATCATGGGCTAAACCCATGGACATCTCAAGTTCCCCTCGAGCAGCTTCCATCGTTTCCAGCACCTTGTGGGGCGATACAGAGTGGAAACACATGAGCAGCCATGCACAGGCAAGCACACACACGTCTGTGCTGCCTGCGCTTCCAGTCCCAGCCACCTTTTCCTTACCCAGCTGCAGCCAGCAGCTAATGAGCAAACCCTGGAGACGTGTGCATGGAGCAAGATGTAATGCGAGGAGGCAGGAAGCGCTTGCTCCAGCCAAGTGGCGGAAATCCCTTCCCTCGACTGGTGCAAAGTTCAGCAAACATCCCCTATTCCCCACTCCTTCTGCACAAACCACCAGGATGCTGCAGGCCCGGAACCTCAGCGGGATATGTGGGTCTTACAACAAGCACAGCCCAGCAAGTCAGTGCACTGCGGCATGATCCAGCCACTAACGGGGCAAAAGGGGTTGTGAGACCCCCATATGTCAGGCTCTATGGGCGTGCAGACTCCTCAACCCTGCAGGATGCTTCATGGGATACAGGGCGGGAAGGATTAAACCAGCCAGAGCTGAGGTGGGACGCAACCCGGTGCTCGGAGGGGGCAGGGGTAGGATGCTGAGCCTGGTACCTGGTGTAGCCGATGAGCACGTTGGTGGCAGCGAGCCTGGTGTAATCCCATTGCATGCCTCCCTCCTGGTACAGCATCAGGACGTAGGACCTGAAGCCGTCGGTGGTCAGGACGGCCTGGTATGTGATCGTCTGGGGAGAAGCATTGCGGGCAGGTAAAAAAACAGAGCAAAGCTGTCAGGTTTAAAATTAGGGGGATGGGTCAGGGCTCACTGGGGCACGGCGGGGCCGAGATCCTGATGCGCGAGGCAAACACAGCCTGGGCTGGTTCACATTTTGCATGGGAAATGTGACGGTTTTACTTTGATGCTGTTCCATGACAAGCCTCAGATTCACCCCGTTTTATGCTCCCGAACAGTGTTTCTGGTGCACAATAAACTCCCACCACATTAAAGAGAAAGATTTTACAGGGCAGGGAGAGTTCAACTAAAGATGTCACCTCAGAAGCCTGAAAACCACTAAAACATGGAACCCAGTTCTTTTTGGCAAAAGTCTTCAAGACTGAGCCTTTTTACAAAGTTTTTTTTCAGGCACAGACAAGATGATCACCCATGGATCTTGGGGGTTTTTTTGACAACTCAGCAAGCCCTCGAGCTCCACCCCCTCCTTACCCTCCGGGTGTCAGTCCGTGCTGCGTAGGCAGGTGCCTTCTCCCAGGTGATCTTCAGGGTCCAGGCTGCGGAGTAGGAGGACCTCAGGTACCGCCGAACCTTCGCTTCCACGTCACGGACGAACGGAGGCTTGGCCGTGTTGAGGGTGGGGAACTCCTGCGGTTTGGGTACACCCACATCTGCATTAGCTCCCAGTAGGGCAAACCCAGGTCTAGACTGGGGTCATGCATGGAGCACTGCATCCAGGGGTTTGGGTGAGATTTGCGTGGCTCAATAGGTGACATACACAGGACCAACAGCTCTTAGATTTGGCCCAGAAAAGGGAAAAATGCCGCTGATGGGCTCCATTGATTATGTATCTCAAGGGGCACCCAGAGAATAGGTGATGACTTTATCACCAAAAGGTGTTTCACACAGCCACGCACCTGGGTGGCTTCACTCACCTGGTAGAAGGTGGTGCCAACACCTCTGGAGAAATCGGCGTTGTCCCAAAACACGGCAATCATGGGAACCTTCTCATGGCCGTTGAAGCCGCTGGGAGGAGGGTTGGGGTACGTGAAGGTGCTGCTGTCTGAGGCTGGGAAAATGACTTGTCCATTGTCTGTAAACTGAGTGGAGGGATCCCTCCATCAGGTAAGGTCAGGACCAGCAGGACCCCCTGACAGGGGGATGGCAGCCCTCCCATTTCCAAACCCACTTTGAGCAACCCCCAAGGAAGGCCACTACCCGCCACACCGAAATGGCCACAAAGTCACTTCCTGATGCAATCCCCAGCAGCATCCCAATTGATCCGCCCCTCAAGGGTCCCATCCTGGCCCCTGAAGCCTTCCCCAGGTTTCTGGGGAACGGCAGCTTGCCCAACAGCGAGTGAAGTCAAGGTAGACTCACATAGAGAGAGTCGCGCAGAGTTTTCCCAAATGGGAATCCAGTCTCAGGCTTGAAAAGCGGAGAATTAAAATCCACCCTCCTTTCCACGTACTCCTGATCATTTTCCCGTGCTCCATACCCATAAAGGGGCACAGCTGCAACTGGAAAAGAAAACAAACAAAAAAAACCCCAAACAATTACATCAATGCCTTTGATCTGTGCCAAAACCTCCAAGGACTGAAAGGGTTTTGCTTCCAAAGGGACACAGCCTGGGCAGCAGGAGCATGGGAGGATACTGCCAACAGCCACCTGGGAGCCCCTGCTTGTCACCTTCCCTTCCAGGAGCTTTCTCCCACCCCTTTCACTGCCTTACACAGACACCGCTGTCCTAAACCTGCTGTGACAGCCTTTGTGGTCACTGTCCCCTCCTGCTCCAGCCCCATTGGGTCAGCACACTGCAGGCCGTGGTTAGGAGGGGAGAAACATTGCGCGGGACTGTGGTAGGGGGATGGCAGGGAATTAAACACCCCCAGCTCTGGAAAGAGGTGTTTACATCCTCCAGCTCCCTATTTATGTCTGTTGAATTAAACCAAAGATTTGGAGGGGATGGGTTTTCCAGCTGACAGGACCATATTCAAAGGCAGGCCCAGCCTGGCCAAAATTCAAGCTCATGTGTGAGGGTCCTGGCCCCAGATAGTCCCCTCAGTCTCTGGGCACCGAATGTCCCCCAGAACCATTGGTCAGGAGACTGGATGCGCTCCTCCCACCTGGGTAGCCCCAGCAGCATCACGTACCTGTGGGGCCAGGTGGTGGGGTCAGAGTGGCCACTGGCCCTCCTGGCAGGGCTGGAAACACGGGGAGTGATGCGCGGGAGGTGACAGTGGCTGCTCCTGGCCTGGGGAGCACCTTCCTGGCCCCGGGGAGGGGGGCTGGCAGGGCCGGGCTGGTGGTAGCTGGGCTGCAGGACACGGCTGTGTGTGCGGTAGCTGAGGACACCCCCCGGGCTCCCCCCTGGCCTAGGAAGGCTGCAGGGAGACGGGACCCACTGGTGGCAGGAGATCCGTTTGCCAGGCTGGTGGTCAGCTCCCCCCCCAAGAATGGCTGCGGGGCAGCGGGTGACGAGCCACCAGCAGGTCCTGGCCCTGTGGTCTTTGGTCCGGGGCTGCCAGCAGCAATCCCAGCGGGAGGAAGTCCAGGAAGCCCTGAGCCCCCCCACAGCGGGGAGCCAGAAGGGGTCTCTGCATCTGCTCTGGCCCCAGCTGCACTGGGAAGGAGCTGAGCCATGTCCCCTCGCCCTGCAGTGGCTCCGGGGAGCACGGCACTCGCTTCCATGGGCATGGGGCTCTTAGCAACGCTGGAGGAGTCTCCAGGGCTTCCCGTCTGGCGGGGAGGCAGGAGCAGGGCAGCCCCCCATGGCAAGGCAGCCTCCAGCTCTCCCTTTCCCCCTGCTACCGACTCACGTGCCGAAAGTGGAGTGGAAAGCCCGGGGCTGGCAGACACCCCCTCTGCAGCAGTTTCTCTTTGCGGAGCAGAAGGCAGTGCCGGAGCAGCGTTGGGGGACACGGGAGCATGGAGGGATGCTTGTCCAGAAGGTGCCAGCATCCCTGAGGCCACCTTGTCTTCAAGAGACCACGTCTGAGTGCCCCCAGCATCTCCTGCCAGCCCACCCGGTGCCCCTGGCACCAGCGATCTGCTCCCACTCTGGGTGCCGGGGGCAGAGTGGGGGTCCCCACTTGGTGCCAGTCCCGAGCCCAGGCTATGTCCAGGAAGGACCAGTGAGGCAGCCATGCCATCGGAGCTGCCGCTGCCCTCTGGAGCCACCGGGACCAGGGACTGTGTCTCCTGGGGGGAGGCGAGGGCAGATGGGGCCAGCACTCCTGATGCAATCTGTACGACAGCTCCCGCGCCCTCTCCCAGGCTGGCACCAGGCAAAAGTCTCCCATTCACCGAGGCTTCTCCAGGAAGCTCCACCACCTTGACTTGGCTCAGTTTTTCATCAGAAAGTCCAGGATTGGCTCCAGTCTGGATGCCAGGGGCAGGAACAGGGGGTTCCTTGCGGCCAGCAGCCTCCAAGCCTGTGCTCAGGCCACCGTCAGCTCCACCAGCTCCAGGAAGGCTTGCTCCATTAGCAGCCTCACCAGCTGCCCCAGGTGATGAAGACCTCTCCATAGATGGGGAAGATGATGCAGACTGCAGCACAGCTCCCATTTTTCCATCAAAGGCTCCTGAACCAGCTGGTTCCTCTCTGGCAGGGGCCTGGGACTGCCCCAGGGACCCTCTGTCACCAGCTGCTTCACCTTCTCCTGCAGCAGGAGGGACCCCAGGCCCAGCACCCAGGGGAGGCTGCAGAGCTCCAGGAGCACTGCCTGCTCCTCCGAGGGCATTCAGGTTGGCTGGATCTGAAACGGAGGATGCTGCGACCACACCACTGGGAGAGGCAGGACGGGGCAAGGAACCTGCACCAGGCAGTTGATCCATCCCAGGCGCTGTCCCACTGCCTGCAGCAGAGATTAGGGATGGCTCAAACCTGGTCCCGCTGCCTGCTCCTACCAGCTCTGGCTCTGTTGTACCAGCTCCGTGTCCTTCCGCTGCCGGCAGCCCTAGGTTTGCGTCAAACTGGTCCCCACGGGCAGGTGATGGAGGTCCTGCCGGTCCATCAGCTGCGGAGCTGGAGCCATCCCCTGCCGGAGTCAAGCCAGTGCCTGGTACAGTGTCTCCAGGGAGACCTGCTCCCTGAGGAGCACCAGCTGCCGGCCCCCATGGCTGCGGCTCCCCGAGGGATGGAGACACGGGTGCTCCCTGGGCAGCACCGAGGTCGAGGCTTGCTGCTGTCTCTGCTCCAGACACGGGGCCGGCCACAGCCCCCAGGGGTGGGTAAGCAGCCCCAGGAGCACTGGTGGATTCACCGGGAACGTTCCCTGGTCCTTCAGCCACAGAGAGGTTGGGCTCCAGCCCAGCACTGCCAGGAGGTGCAGGACCAGATGGAGACACTTGTCCCAGTGCTGGCGCTGCTCCTGTTCCATCCCCAGGAGCTGAGGGAGGGGACAGTTCGGCATTCGCCAAAGCCCCTGTTTCTCCTGCTGGCAGCTCTCTGGTGTTACCGGGGTCCTGCTGAGTGCTGAAGGATGAAGGATTTGTCTCCGTGTAGGTACTTTCACTCTCTGGGTTTCCTGCTTGTGCCACATACCCTGCACCCTCAGTCCCCTGCACCAGAGTGAGCTCTGGACCAGTTTCACCATCCGGGGAGGTTGGAGACAGGCTGTCAGGGCCAAGGGCTGCAGCTGGGATGGGTCCTGCTCCATCACCCTCTGAAACAGAGGATGCTACCCCATCACTGGGAGAGGCAGGGCCGGACAAGGAACCTGCACCAGGCAGTTGA